GTGTGTGGGGTGGGTGTGTGTAATGTGTGTGTGTGTGGTGTGTATTTGGTGTGTGTATGTGTGGGTTTTGTGTGTGTGTATATGTGTGTAGTGTGTATATGTGTGTGGTGTGTTGTGTGTGTGTTGTTGTGTGTGTGTGTGGTGTGTGTGTGTGGTTGTGTGTGTTGGTGTGTGTGTGTGTAAATGTATTGTGTGTATGTGTTAAGTGTATTGTGGTTGTGATGTAGTGTGTTGTATGCATATGTCTGGTGTATTGTGGTTTGTGTGTCGTGTTGTGTGTGTGTGTGTGTGTGTGTGGTGTGTGTGTTGTGTGTGTGTGTGTGTGGTGTGTGTGTGTGGTGGTGCGGTGGTGTTTCTTTTGAGATTATAAAAAATTTCACAATCAATTCCTTATTAATATACACTAATTATACCATAAATATTTACTGTGTACACTTGTGTTTGTGTGAATGTGTGTTTACTAGCTTGTCGTTCGTTGAAAAGATAGGGGGGGGTCACGTTAACACACTGTGTGTGTGTGTGTTGTGTGTGTGTGGTTGTGTGTGTTGGGTGGTGTGTGGTGTGTGTGGTGTGTGTGGTGTGTGGGTGTGTGTGTGTGTGGCAAAGTGCATGTGCATTGTGGGTGTGTGGGTGTGTGGGTGTGGTGTGCGTGCGCCATGCCCGAACATGAGCATGTTGAGTCACAACTTCACAAACTACTTGTACACAATACCTTGAACCTTGCCTTGCATGCCCTTACTACTGTCTAACTCATTTACACAGACAATATTAAAAACAATACTTTTTCTTGGGGTATGTAAAAAATTACAACACTTTTCAAACATGGATTTTTGAATCAATAAATATATTTTAATGCTACCTCAATAACAAAAGAGTACTAACAATTTTGCTGAAAATTTGAATTTACTCTAATTTTAAAAATAGTCCATTATTATAACACATGTAAGACTCAGTATGAAACTAATATACAATTCATACATGCCAATCCCCAATAATAGTATACTTTAATATACATTATGTCTACGAGTCACCCAAAATTTGCTTAGACACATATCTACATACCATTAGCAGTGGCAGCTTGTGTATAGGCACTGCGGAACTGGAGCACCCCGTATTTTCACTCGATATTATCGATAACATTCAATATAATGAGTCTTTTTTTCTTTAATTCTTTCTTTATACTTGTACATTATATAATCCTTAAGCTTTATGTCAGTAGCCATCCCCTAGTACATGAAAAAATTACAAAAATCCTTGTATGGAACTGTGCGCTTCACAGTTCCATCGATTCTGTTTGGCTGTTGTGCGCATGCGCACATGTCTAAGATAAGAAGCTGCATGCTAGGTAGAGAGAGCACTGTCACTGACGCAGTGCTGACCCTGTTGTGCAAGTGTAAGGTAGTGTTTCTTTTTGACTCAGCGATGTGTGTTGTGCTTAAAAACCATGTATACCATATTCTTGAATGTGATAAAGTGTAGAATCAGATGATTATTACACTTTCAGCTATTTTATTTAATTCATAGTTTTTTCGGTCCTTTTATTTTACTGAAAATTTAAATAATTTAATCATGGCCTCCTTGCATCCCCAAGAAATAAGTTCTGTGACTGTAAGTGAACTTCAACAGCTTAAGTTTTCACAGTTGTCTCTCCATGAGAAAATTACAGTTAAGAAAAGAGGCTGTTCAACAAGTGATATTCACAATGGCTAAAAATTTTCTGAAGCAGCGCCTCCACTAATTTTAGATACGAGCCGCCACTGACCAGTAGGTATAAACAACAATTTAATAATTTATCGTTCATGTTAAGTTGTAAATATCTTACCATGCCTCCATAAAAAAAATAATTGAACTTTAATTAACCTCTTTGCTGTCAGAAGCCACAAAATTAATACTGCTAATAATGTTGCCATTAAAAAAAAAAAACGTAATTTCTTCTGAAATGACAGAAAATCTTTCTCTGAAGGTAATGATACCAAAAGTGTGAAATATTACAGACACTTATGTAATTACACAGGTGAAAAGTTAGTAGTCTGTGCCTGATTTATACATCAACCAAATTCTTAGCTATTTCACTAGTATGCCTTCTGTTCTATTGATTGAGCAAAAGAACTACCATATAAAGTACACAGGAGTTGATAATTTGGCCAATTTTATGCAAAGTTTAAAAAATCCAACAGTAAAAAACAAAAAGGGTTGACATTCCAGCCACTAAAGCAACACTTCCTCTGTTCATTAATCATGTCCTCAGGCCTCTCCTATTTTACACTTGCCCACTATTTTGAATTCATCATTACATAAAAAATCAATGATTTACCCTATTTTTCAGATGACAAAATATAAAAAAGGAATAATTGGTCATTGTTTATGGCATCTCAATAGGTGAATGAAACCTAGTAAAAACCATAAACAGACTGGGGGTGTAGCCTTACCTGTCCTCAGGAAAATTGTCAAAAATCGAATATTTCTACTACCTTGAGTCAAGTTTCAAGCTACTTCTGGCCCTGAAACCAACCAAAACCATTCAATTTCAGCAGAATTTCTTCAATTCTATCAAATGATACCAAGAAACAGTCAATAAAACCATAAAATCCATCGTAGAAAACACCCCAAATTCACTATTTTAAACCAAACCCTTTAAGTAGTTTACTTTTTTCATCATGCACTGCATGGAGCAGGATTTTTTTTAATAATGTGAACACTCACCCCAAAGACTTATTCTCTCATGTCTAGGCTAAAATTTACTGCCAACAGCTTACATTTGAAGGAATGGATGCACAAAATGGTGACCCAAGTAAGCAACTCTAGCTTACGTACGAGACAGTGAAGGAGTTAAAATGCTATTTATCAACATTAACCACTAATGAAATAGTGTTAGAAAATAATTTAATATTTTTATATATAATGTTAAGAGAGAGGGTAATTGTTTTCATTTTTATAAATATCAATATTCTCCATGGGGAAATGGAACAGAATTCTTCCTCCATAAGCCATGCGATGTCATATGAGACGACTCAAATGCCGGGAGCAAGGGCATAGTAACCCTTTCTTCTGTATAAATTACTAAATTTTAAAAGAGAATCTTCGTTTTTCTTGTTAGGTCACCGTGCCTCGGTAGATACGCAAATAACCCGCACATAAAAGAGAAGAAGCATACGACGACGTTTCGGTCCTACAATTGATTTGTCAATGGTCCAAGTCGGACCGAAACGTCGTCGTAAGCTTCTCTCTTTTATGTGCGGGTTATTTGTGTATCGATTCCAGTCACGGTATTGTGCCTTTTTTGTTATTTATTCTGGTAGATACGGCCAGTTTGTTGAAAAAAAAAAACAATATCTGTTTTCAAAAACACCATGTTATAAAAAGCTAGTTCACAGTCCCTTTATTAATGTCTGTAACTTAAACAGTATTTCTCTTCTCATTCCATGGGGGAGAAGAGAAGAATCATTCTTGCATAAGCCATGTGTCATAAGAGGCAACTAAAATGCCAGGAGCAAGGGGCTCGTGACCCCCTTCTCCTGTAAAAAGAAGAAAAACTTTTGTTTCTTCTTTCTGGGTCAGCCTGCCTTGGGTCAGCCTGCCTCAGTGGAAGACAGTTGGTGTGTTAAAAAATAAACTGTCTCAATTACAGTTAACAAATTTTACGTTCTGATTAACATTTACCAGTTTCTTCCTTTTTAAATTGCTAGTATGACCTTATTTTAAACTTTATTACCTCTTAAATTATTATAACTGTTAATACAGATAACAATATTCAACTCATAATCTAAATTGTTCAATATCAACAAAAGAACTGTTAGAGTAGTCTGAGACCTAGTTTAAATCTGCTAGATTTTTTTTTCAATCCACTGGCTGTCTCCCACCATGGCAGGTGACCCAAAAAAGAAGAAACACTTTCATACAGCTTTCTCCTTTTTTTTTTTTTTTTTTTTTTTTTACATTTAGTAATTTATACAGGAGAAGGGGTTACTAGCCCCTTGTTCCCAGCATTTTTACTCACGGGAGGCTCTTTGATGCTCATGAAGGGGTCTTGATGTAGTGAATTGGATCTGTGCTCCAGTTCCCTGAAGTGAGCCTGAATATCTTCCATCCCCCCTTCCCCACAGGCGCTGTATAATCCCTACAGGTATGCGCTCCCCCATGATTATAATATAATAATAATCCTGGCATTTTAGTCACCTCTTATGACACACATGGTTGCCAGAAATGTTGTCTAATTATTGGAATTTCATAAAAGTGGAAAATGCACTGTTAACCTGAGAACTAACGTACTTTTTTTAAATAAAGGTACATGTATTATCAATATTGCTACTGTTTATTATAAAGTGCAGTGTGCAGCTTCTTGCCTGTTGTTTACCAGGAAGCAAGTTTATGAAGTTTTATCATTTACTTATTTCATTTCTCTGTTGTTATTATTTACCACTGTGAGTAATTAGAAGGCATGGATCCTGATCTGGCATAGAGATCAAAACTGAAGTTTATCAGAAAAATGCTGAACCATTACTTTAACTTCACAATTTATTGTATAACATGCTCTCTGATACTTATTTGTCAATGTCATAAAATGTTGTAACACAATGAATGCATAAAAATAATGAAAAAACAACTTTGCCATAAATGTAAGATAGCCATTTTTTTAACACACTGGCCATTTCCCACCAAGGTTGGGTGACCCATAAAAAGAAGAAACACTTTCATCATCATTCACTCCACTGTCTTCCTAGAGGCATACTGATACACCAGTTTAACCCTTAAACTGTCCAAACATAGATCTACGTTTGCTCGTGTAGCACTCCGAATGTAGATCTGTTTTTTCACATAAAAAAGCACATAAAATTGAACGTAGATCTATGTTCGGAGCACTACAAGAGTGAACATAGATCTACTCCTTCAGAGTGCAGACACTCAAGTCCAGCTAACTGGTTTCCCTGAATCCCTTCAAGATATACGTATTTTAATTAATAAAAAGGAAAGTCACGAAGTGTGAATAATCACAAACATACCTTAGCTTTATAAACATTTGCAGCCAAGTCTACTGCCGCCAACCCTAAGCCGCCAGCAGCAGCTGTGATCAGAACTGTACTGTTTTCTTGGACTCCAGCTCGTCGCTGTAATCCAATCAAGGAAGTAGCATATGCATCAACCAGAGCAGCTCCGGTATCAAAACCAACTGCATGGTCAACCATCCACACATCCTTAACACAGGGGAAAACACATTAACAAATAAGTGAATACTAACAAATGAATACATACCACCAACTGGTTGAATACTAACAAAAAAGTTAATTCACAAGTCAAACTACCAAGTAATATTAAATGTTTATCCATCATTTAAACTGAATTTGATCATACAGTATTTTTAATTTTATGGTGATAAAAACAGATATGCATACGAATGGTAAGATAAATCAAAGACTAAATGAGAAAGATGAAAGGTAGGTTGAGTGCAGAGGCTTCTAAAGAAACAAATACAATAATTTATTTCTTTTATGCAATATACTGTACAGGTAATGTAGGTTACAAGTAATAAAATATTGTTAGGCACAAAAAGAAAGTCACAAGAATGTGGTGCATTCTGCAGAAAAAAGTTCATTAATGGAGACAACAACAAAAAAGCATGTACAGAAGGCACTGCTTTACAGCGCCTCACTTTACAGCATTTTGCTAATACAGCATTTTTCAATTCTACCTATTCTTTATTTATTTAGACTTCCTACAATAAATATAAGCTAAGACTGCAAACATTTTAAGGTAAGTAATATGTGTACTGTATATGCATTTTTTAGGCCTAGCTCTATTTCTCACTTAATATATAATAGTGTAAACATGTTATCAGGCTATTATATGCATTTGAAACTGAAAAAAGGCTGTTTCACTTTACAGCAATTTTTGCTTTACAGCAGTACCCAAAAACCTAACCTGCTGTATAAGCAGGGCCCTTCTGTACCAGGACATATTATGTAACTATTATGTAGAGAATAATGAATACGGAAGTTAGAAGACAGTGTGGCGGTATGAAGAATACACTTAAGGGAACAAATGAGGTGTTGTTGAGACGGTCTGATCGTTTAGAAGAGATGGAGTAAGGTAAGTTGACCAAGATGTTGTATAAATACAATACAGGGATGAAATACAAGGAGGAATAAGAGAAATCAAAGGAATTTTTTTTTTTTTATTTAGCAAAATTGGATACATCAGTAGTGTGCTGCTATCCTCTTCTGCATGATAGTTATTCAGTGGAAACATAAGCTAATCATCTTTCCCATGTCATATTCCCTCACCCAGGATGAGATTTACTGTGTTGTAATCTGTCATCCTTAGTTGAAGACTTCAACAGGGCAGGTAAGATATCATCCAATGCTCCACTGAAGGTTCATCAGCTATGAAAACTTCAAATGTTTCCTTCTGGTATAGCTGGAGTTACTGTCACTTCGGAACTGACATCTCTCAGGAGAGATTATCCCATACACAGGCGAAACAGATTATGAAGATATCTCCATCATCCCACAGCAAAAACAAGAGAAATTATATAGAGGAGACAGAGGAAAAAGAAAGTAATTTGTTAATGTCTGGGGTCATGACAGTGGCAGGGTTAATTTCAGAGGGGCCATGACAGTGAAAGAGTTAACCAAGTGCTATTATCCTAAGATTCTGGATCTATACTTGGATATACAGAGGAGTGTAATGGCATTATCTAGGCGTGACTAGATAATGCCAGATGTGATGCCAGCAACATCACATCATACTGCTACTTGCCTCTTATTTATAGTGGGCTGAATGCAGCCCAGGCTGATTCATTCTCTCACTGGCAAAATTCCAAGCAGTCATCTCTTGATAAGAAAGCTTCCTAGCTGTCTTATCAGAGGTGTGCAGACATTACAATACCCCCCACCCAGAGGGCCAATGGTGGGTCACCATCTGGAAAAGACCCGGGTCGGGACAAGACTGGCAAACCTACTACAGTACAATACAGACATTACAATTCATACTGTGTGTCGAACCGAGGCACCCTCACCCACCTCTAAAACTCTCAATTTCCCTGACTCTATTCATAAATATTACCTTGCTTAACCCTTTGACTGTCGCGGCCGTATATATACGTCTTACGAGGTACCATGTTTGACGTATATATACTCATAAATTCTAGCGGCTTCAAATCAAGCAGAAGAAAGCTGGTAGGCCCACATGTGAGAGAATGGGTCTGTGTGGTCAGTGTGCACCATATAAAAAAAAATCCTGGAGCATGCAGTGCATAATGAGAAAAAAAAAAACTCCAACCATTTTTTTAATTAAAATGCCGACTTTGTGGTCTATTTTCGTATAGTATTTATGGTTGTATTCTAGTTTTCTTGGTCTCATTTGATAGAATGGAAAACATATTATAGAAATAAAGGTGATTTTGGTTGATTTTACTAAAGTAAGAACCTAGAAATGGAGCTCAAAGTAGGGGAAATGTTTGATTTTTGCCAATGTTCAAAAGTAAACAAATGATGCCATTGTCCAATAAATGTCCAACTAGCCATTCTAATATGCAGTCATGAATGGGTTGATGTTATTTGTACAATTATTACAGTATTGCAATACTCTGCATAATAGTAAGTCTTCTATTTTTTGTTTGAATAAAAATTCAAAATAGAAAGCAAGAGTAATATCAGAGGGGCCTGGAGACATGACTGATGAGCAAAGAAAATGTTATTTTAGAGCCAGGAATGTCTGCATTGTTCATTCTGGACCTTATTTTGAAATTGTCATATTTTTTAGTTTTCGTGAAATTGGCCAAATTGCAAATTTATGACCACATTATTAGGTAGTTCAAATCGGTAAATGGGCAGTTTCTTGTACTCAATCAATAGAAAAAATGGAGTTCTAAAGAAATAGCTATGAGTTTGGGTGACTGGAACAGTGGAATTAGCCGAAAATAGGGCTCAAAGTGGGCGAAATCGCTGATTTGTAAACAGCGCCGCTAACTTCGTGAGAGCATAATTCCGTCAGTTTTCCATCAAATTTCGTTTTTTTGGTGTCATTCAATCGGGAAAAGATTCTCTATCATTTCATAAGAAAAAATATTTTTTTTTTTTTTTTTTAAATTTTGCGACACCAGGAGACACCTCAGGATTGGGGGTTGCGACAGTCAAAGGTTAAATTCCAACAGCACATCAAATCCCAAAAACCATTTGTCTTTACTCTGATCTAGCATGCTAACACATTCTGACCAGATGCTCAAGCCACTTCTGCCCAAAACTTCTTTTATCCCCCTTCATAATGCCACTATATACTCTCAAGTATATAGTGACTGCACTGTAATAAGTATACAAGAATGGGACCAAGAGAGGAAGGTAAAGTAGAGGTAAGGCTGGTAGTAGTACTGTAATAGCAGTAGGACTTTCTACCACCACTTCTACTACTTCCACTACCACTTTTTCTTCCTCTCTTGGTCCTGTCCCTGTCCCCCTCATCTATGCATACTGGCTCCCTTACTCTATTGTGTTGGTATGACTTTGTAAATGATCCAAGTAGGATTAAAATGCCATCTTAAGTTTCTCTCTCCTGTATGCGGGTTATTTGTGCATTGTTCCAGTCATGATACTGTGCTTTTTTTTCTGTTCTTTATATCATCCAAGTACTTTTTCTCCTTCACATCCATGCTGCTTCTCTTGAAGGATTATAAAATGACATGAGAAGGCAGTCAGGAAGGATTTCTTAATCCCCTTAACAAAAGGAATTCAAATGCCAAAATTGATAGCAGAGAAAAAAAATCAGTGCCCAAGGAATACTAGAAAGTACCTGTATTTTTTCCATATAGTTACTTCACAAACTAAAAAATGAAGAATAAAGTCATAATACCATGGTTGGAACAATTCACAAATAACCCACAGTGCTCTTTTCTGTCATGTTAGAGATTACAGCCAACTTATTAACTGATCCTCTGCTATAACTATCTTCCCTTCTTCCGGCCTTCACAGATGCTGTCTTCTTGAATTATCTCTTAGATATAGCATTTTTAACAGAAATTTTAGTCCTGGCTTTGCTTCTGTAAAGACCTTTCTTTCTCGAAATAATGGCAAATGCTCTAATCTTCAGAACACTCTTGACTTGGCCTGGCCTTTACCAACTCTTTACCTAAATGAGGAGGTGGAAGTGCTGCTTAAATGTCTCATTTATAAACCTGTTGGTTTTCTGAACCATTAACATAATAGTGCTCATGATTATGATGATGATGATGATGACTTCATTATGTTTTATTAAAGACAGGTTACCACAGTCTTAGCCATGCTGTTGTAGCCATAAACAGGTAATAACACAGGTAATTATATGCCATCCTTTGGAATTAGCTAAAAATCGCACCACATATATTTCTGCATGCAAACCTAAATATCACCCACCTCTGTACAAACCTTAAACCTTCAATAACCCAACAAAAAGCTGCTGTGTGGATGGTCACCAACTCCTGTGCCAGACAGCACACTCCTCCATTTTTCAAAAGCTTTGAACCTACTAAATATACAAGACATACACTCATATTATTGTGCCTACTATATGTACAGCACATTAAACTGCAATATCAACCCTCCGCTTAAACTTCCCCTTGATAGCTACAACAGAACACGCAGTCACAATACAAGGCACAAAGCACTCTTTGACGTCCCTCGTGTCAGTCTCACACTATGCAAAAATGCAGAGCACATAAAGGGCCTGAAGATCTGGAATTCACTACCTGCACTGCTAAAAGATCCCCTGACTGCATACAAGTTTAGGGCTATGCTTAAAAATCATCTCATTGAGATCTCAATACTAAACAACACAACTTCTAATAAGTATGAAGCAACTTTCCCATATATTATATGACCTCTAGTCTATGAAAACATCTGCTAATCCATAATATGGTACTGTTTGAACCATTATTTGTAATACTGCCATTTGCTATGCACAACTTTGTATCTCAATGTACTCGTGGAGCCCCTGATGAAAAGCAGGGGAGCCACAAGTACATTGAGAGACAACACAATAAGTGTCAAGGGCCCCCCAACTGTTCAGTTGCTTCCCAGCATACATAAGGGGGATCACCAATAGACCCCTGGCTGTCTTCAAGAAGACACTGGATGGGCACCTAAAGTCAGTACCTGACCAACCGGGCTGTGGTTCGTACATCAGCTTGCGTGCAGCCAGCAATAACAGCCTGGTTGATCAGACCCTG